ACAAATAACTCAATTTCATTCCTTTTTATGGCCGAGTAATATTCCATTGTATATATGTGCCACATCTTCTTCATCCACTCATCTGTCAATGGACACTTAGGTTGGTTCCATGTCGTGGCTATTGTAAACAGCATATTCTGAAAGGATTTCAAGACACAGAGGGTATCAAGAAAAGTAGCTTGGACTACATTTTTTAAATAGGTGGATAGAGGGCTTCAATGCATTGCTATAAACTAAGTATTTCAGCAGTATTTGCCAGTGGCCTGCCTGGGTTATTGAGAAAGTTCCCTGATAATTGAAAACAGAGGGTTAAGAACTTGAGCTCTGGAATCTGATAGACATGGATTGAATTCCAGTTCCACCACGTACCAGCAGCAGACTCTTTGGTAAATTGCTCAGTCACTTTGTTTATTTTGTTCATTCATATAAAATGGAGCCTATAGGTATGAATCCCTCACAGAGTCTTTGTTAAGATCAAATGAGAGAAAGTATGTTAACATACTGCCTGGCAAGTAGTGGGCTCAGTAAGTGTTTGGTGCAATTATCTCAGCCAAATCTAAATCATTATGTCTGTCAGTCTACATCCATTTATGAAGATTGCTATATGATTATTCAAAACTATAGTCTTCTTAAAAATTGAAGTATAAATGATTTACAATATTGTGTTGGTTTCAGTTGGACAGCAAAGTGACTCCATTTTATATATATTATATATTTTCAGATTTTATTTTATTGTCCATTATAGGTTATTACAAGATATTGAATATAGTTCCCCATGCTATACAGTGAATCCTTGTTGCTTATCTATTTAATATATAGTAGTGTGTATCTGTTAACCCCATACCCCTAATTTATCCCTCCCTTACCCCACTTTCCCCGTTACTCAGCCATAAAAAAGAATGAAATAATGCCATTTGCAGCGACATGGATAGACCTAGAGAATATCATACTAAGTGAAGTAAGTCAGACAGAGAAAGACAAATATTATATGATATCACTTATATGTAGAATCAGAAAAATAATACAAATGAATCTATTTAAGAAACAGAAACAGACTCACAGACATAGAAAACTATGGTCTTTTAAATACCAAGAGAGACATGGGAGTGACTCAGATGACTTCCTGAGACAAACGACAGAAATAAATACTTTTTGCTTGTCTCTTTGAAAATAACAAGTCATAAATCTCAGCTTGTGAATCACCACCCTGGAGTGCAAAGTGGTGGACGCTCCAAGCTGTAGGACAGAGAAACCTAGCTTAGCAAGAATCAAAGAGGCAGTTTACAAAGCTTCCCTCAGAATGGGTGGTTCTTGTTTCTTCCTCGATTACATTGTCACTGGGCAACCATGAAGAAAAAGTCCTCAGAGTTTAAAAATGTAACATAATAGTATTAATGATTTAAAAAAGCAGGCAACAGCAGCAGAACAAGTTGGTTTGGGTCAAACTGACAGGGATGGATTCCCCAAAAGTCTTGTTCTTTCATTTCATTATTTGAAAATTTTTACATTTTCGCATTCTTTAGTCTTCCTTGCTGTGCCCCTCAGATGGAGGTGAAAGAGCAAGGAATATATGGTAGGAGAGCAAAAGGGGAGAAATCTACCAATGAAATGGAAGGGTCCTTTGGAATGATTCTTGTTTATTTTACAGAGGGACTTAAGTAAAGCTGACGTATATGTTCCTGATCTCCCTCAAAAGACTGAGTCAGATAGGAAGAGTCCTGCCTATCTGTGATTTTTTTTGCTTTCGCTCCAGGTCATTTGTTTTTGACTCATCTAACAGCCCTGACAGAATGAAGGAATAAGAATGAAGACGTGAGAAACTCTCTCTCTTCCGTGCTTAGATATGAGCATGCGGAGTAAATGTAGGTTAGGATGACAGTCAGAGATCTTCAACATTTATGGGCTGTGCAGTGACGCACAGAACTGCAGGCCTAGTTTGAATTTACATGCCCAAAGAACCCTAGGTTTACTAAGGAGTTCCATTTTTTACCTTGAACAGTTGTTACCGAATGAAACTTGGGTCCGCACGCCCGCTGTGCAGCAAAACCAATTTACTGACACCTAGTTGTGGTGAAGAAAAGTATGGCGTTTATTGCAGACACCAAGCAACGTGTATGGGTGGTTCATTCTCAAAAGACCCCAACTCCCCAATGGCTTTCAGGCAAGGATTTTAAAGACAGTGTTAGGAGAAAGGGTCATAGGATGCATGATGAGCTTGTGTGTGGACCTTCTTCTGATTGGTTGGTGGTGGGGTCATACAGTGACGTTTTGAGAATCTCCACCTCCAACCATTCTGGAGTCTATGTGCTTGCGGTCAGCGTGTAGTCACCATCCTCTACCAGGTGGGGGGAGAGGAGGTACTTAGTTTCTGTAGAACAACTCAAAGATATGTATCAGATTGTCATCTATACCCCTTTAGGAGGAACTAGGCATCCTGTGGCTCTTGTCTTGATCATTAACTGCTTGAGCCTGCTCTTTGGAACTCAGGGAAGACCTAGGATACTAGAGCCCTTTTTCTTTCCTACAAATAAAAGACAGAGGGCCCAGAGGGACTGTTGTACCCAAGAAGTTCCCACAGGCTCCTGCTCGTTTTCAATCCCTCCCTTTTTTTTGATACTCCTCAATCTTGAGGGGGAACAGGTACAGGACAGGAAAGGGAATAAAGTTTTGGACAGAGAGGTTAATCATAAAATTATCAGAGGAACTAGTTTTTAGGGAGACTGAGTTTCACAGTAACTGTATTGTTGGGGAGAGAAATCTTAAATATGCATAAAACAAATCGCAAGTACCATGTTGGGGTGCAGTGTAGCCTAGTGGTTACCAGCATGGACTCTAGAGTCAGACTTCCAGGGTTCAAATCCAGTTACTGGTTGTATAGCTTTTGGCAAACAATTCAACATCTTAGTGCCTCTGTTTTCTCATCTGTAAAATGGGGATGATAAGATTATTTCCCTCTTAGAATTGTGAAGATGGAATGAATACATGTAAAGCACTTAGAATAGATTAGATCTTTGATAATCTGACATATGTACTTGGCATATATTATTTCTGAAGTCTTCATAACAACCCTCTAAGTAGGTATTATGACCTCCATTTTACAGATGGAAACTACTAACCTTTGGGGTCTGAAAGACCTTGATTTGAATTCTACCTCTGAGATGTTTGGCCTGGTTGAGATATTTAAAAATAACTGAGCTGGGGCTTCCCTGGTGGCGCAGTGGTTGAGAGTCCACCTGCCGATGCAGGGGACACGGGTTCATGCCCCGGTCCGGGAAGATCCCACATGCCGCAGAGCAGCTGGGCCCTTGAGCCATGGCCGCTGAGCCTGTGCATCCGGAGCCTGCGCGTCCGGAGCCTGTGCTCCGCAACGGGAGAGGCCACAGCAGTGAAAGGCCCGTGTACTGCAAAAAACAAAACAAAACAAAACAACAACAACAAAACAAAACTGAGCTGATAGTCAGGGGATAATGCCTACCTCCCAGTATTCTGCTGTAATTGCATGAGTTGACCAACATAAAGCACTTCGCACCATGCCTGGCAAATGTTAGCAAGCCTGCTGCATTGCCCATCTCTAGAAAATACTGTTCCTATTATATTTTATGTAAATGGGATCCCAATTTCATTTCCAATACAGAAATCCTTACTTAATCATAGTCAACCTCTTTTGAATAGTTTTTAGTTAAAAAAACCTCATTACTTCACTAAGCGGCCTATTATTTTTTGAGGACTTTTAATTGTTAGGAGGTTCTTTATTGTGCTGAACTGAAATCTGTCTCTATAGATTTCATGAACCCACTGAGCCTAGTTCTGCCCTTTTCGGTGGCACAGAATGAGTCTAGTATCGGATCTTCACAGTCCTTACATGGGTGGGGATGGGAAGGCATGAGCCAAGGATATCTCTGCATAGATTTCAGGGCTCTGTGAACTTAGTTGGGAAAAAAAATGACATCTTTATTTTCACTTATCTGTAACCAAATTTAGATTTCCTTCAATTATGTACAGAGGCAACAAACCTCAGTAGTTCTTAACAGTCTCCATGACTTTGTCGACAACAGAAATCACACATCTCTTCATATGACATTCCAGTTGTTCCAGAAATCTTGAAATGTCATTGACAGCATAACTTTGCAATTTCAGAGGTTATTAAGCCTGTTGTTACTTCTTGTTATTTATTGTGCTAATTAAAAAAATCATATACATTGCTGTATCGCAAACTTGTTTTATTTATTTATTTATTTATTTAATTTATTATTTTTTTTGCGGTACGCGGGCCTCTCACTGTTGTGGCCTCTCCCGTTGCGGAGCACAGGCTTCGGATGCGCAGGCCCAGCGGCCATGGCTCACGGGCCCAGCCGCTCCGCGGCATGTGGGATCTTCCCGGACCGGGGCACGAACCCGTGTGCCCTGCATCGGCAGGTGGACCCTCAACCACTGCGCCACGAGGGAAGCCCTGTTTGTTTTTCGGCCATGCCACACAGCATGCGGATCTTCATTCCCCGAAACCGTGCCCCCTGCAGTGGAAGCATGGAGTCTTAACCACTGGACTGCCATGGAAGTCCCACAAACTTGTTTTAAAAAATATTTTGTTGGGCTTCCCTGGTGGCGCAGTGGTTGAGAGTCCGCCTGCCGATGTAGGGGACATGGGTTCGTGCCCCGGTCTAGGAAGATCCCACATGCCGCGGAGCAGCTGGGCCCGTGAGCCATGGCCGCTGAGCCTGCGCGTCCGGAGCCTGTGCTCCGCAACTGGAGAAGCCACAACAGTGAGAGGCCCGCGTACCGCAAAAAAAAAAAAAAAAAAATTTGTTGATTGTATTTCAATATAATTGGTTTCCTTGTAATTCTATGTGTTATAGTTTGTGCATTTAGAAGTATTGTTCTAAGAAAGCATTCATAAGCTTCACTGGACCACCAAAGAGCATAAAATGTTTAGAAACTCTGATCTAATTGCTTGTTGATGAGTCGGGTCTTCAAATATTAAAAAACAGCTCTGTTTCCCCAAGCTTTCTCTTTTCCAGACTCAAAGTTCCTAGTATCCTATTTCAGGACAAGTCCTCAGGAAGCTGCAGCCTGGGAGGGGCCAGCATGGGAAATGAGATCCTCCCACTGGAGAGTTGGAGCCTGCGACACAGGAGCAGAGCCAGCTGCCGGTGCAGGTACCAATACTATTCTATGCAGAGCACAGGCAGTAGAGAGAAGGCCAACAGAAAATGGCTGGTATTTCAAGAAAGCACTTCATATGTCTGGGTGCGTTGTTGGGGGTGAAGGTAGTAGTAACACAAAATAGCAGAGGACACTGCTCAGAGGGGAATGGAAAAAACATTCATCAGGCATCACGCTGGACAATTTACAGACATTATTGGATTTATGTTCATAGCAAACCAGTATGGTGGATATTAACATGACTTGGGAAAGTCAATTAGCTGGTAAGCATGTTCTGGGGTATGGTGGGAGGATTTCAGCTGTTTGGGGGTGGGAGTGGGGTTGGCAAGAGGCAAGCAAGACCTTAGTTCTAAAGTGACTTGTGGAATTAGGCAAGGTGCCAAGAAGCACTCAGGCACAGCAAACAAAACGGAAACCACTGATCAGAACTGGTACTCAAAATGGCACCTGGGGGCTTCCCTGGTGGCGCAGTGGTTGAGAGTCCACCTGCCGATGCAGGGGACACGGGTTCATGCCCCGGTCCGGGAGGGTCCCACATGCCGCGGAGTGGCTAGGCCCGTGAGCCATGGCCGCTGAGCCTGCGCATCCGGAGCCTGTGTTCCGCAACGGGAGAGGCCGCAACGGTGAGAGGCCCTCGTACCGCAAAAAAAAAAAAAAGTGGCACCTGGGTTTCTAGAACAAAGAGAAATGTACACTGACCCTTTCACCTCTGTGCCTTTGCTCATGGCCTTCCTTCTGGCTGATTCCTCTATGACACCCAAACTCCAGGCTTTTCTGCCTTCGATAGACCAAATCCCTGTTAGCTGATCATCTGTCTTCAGGGACCTCATTCAACGTATAACACCCTTTCTTGCCGTTCACTTATTTTCCCCTCTCAACCTGGAGTAACTTAATAAAGAATCAAAGCGTTCTTCTTCAACTGAGATTGCCAGTTTACCTTCAAGATCACAATTAAATGACTAGCGAGAGTGCCAATGAGTGTGTTTCTAAATCAGTCATTATTCATTTCAAGAAAAATGCCATACTGATATTTTAAATAGTCAATGAAGTTTTTTAAAAGGATGAATGTTTTCATCAGGTACTTTTCCCTCAAGGATTTTGAAACCTACCTGTGGAAGCTATTGTTTAAAAAACATAATATTAATTATCCTTTATGCAAAAGATTTATTGGATGAACATCAATGAGCCTGAAAGGGTATATAAAAGATAGGTTTCATCCTATTATTGGTGTTTGGATGCACCATAATAATGACAGGATTCATTTCAATTCAAGAAGCATTTACTGAGCAAATGCTATTAACAGAAGGTACTCACTCTGCGAGATCAATCAGATATGTGCTCTGCCTTTGAAATGCTTTTCATTGAATGGCAGAGACAAACATAATAAAGAAATGCTTAGGAGGCTTACTGTTAAATAACAATACCTTCTTTCTAGCTAGAAATAAGTTTTGGAGGATAGACATTGTTTTTTTCTTTCCTCCCCCCACCCCCTACCATTTCCTTCCTCCTTCCTTTTCTTAACTTTTTTTGGCCACACTTGTGGGATCTTAGTTCCCCGGGGCAGGGATTGAACCCAGGCCACGGCAGTGAAAGTGCTGAGTCCTACCCACTGGGCTGCCAGGGAATTCCCATCCTTCCTTTTATTAACTTTTAAAACCACTCATGGCATCTAATATACACACTTCCTATAAGAGATTTCTAATGAATTTCAGGTGGATATGTCGAACTCAAGTATTTTCATTAAACGTTTCAAGATGGTAGGCCTTGATTATTAGACACCCTATGGTGTGTGTCTACATGAATGCTGTGAGAGTAATTCTTTTTGCAAATTACTAATTGATTTGTTTATTCAAACTAAAAGGTTTTCCTTTGCACAATCTCTTGGATTTTACCTTTAGAGACAGTGTGAGTGTTCCAAGTCAGGTTGGTTCTCTGAGCCTTAGTTTGTTTGTAAATGATATTGCTGGACTAAATGATGTCTAGGATCTGAGACCAACTCTAACATTTCTGTACTTCACTGGCACTTATCAAGAGAGGCCCACTTTATTTATATAGCCAGTCACTCAGGTTCAAAATGGTCATTCAGTTCTGTAATGGAAGCAACATCCATGTGAGGAAAATGTCAAGATGTTTTAGGTAGAACCTTATTATAACATGGCTTAGTGTTAGGAAACGTATGTGTGTATGTATGTGTCATTGGTTGAACCAAAGTCTAAAAAATGCTCACATAAAATAAACGCCCTCTATAAGTTTGTTAGCTGATTATGCAGGTAAGTGTCTTTTTACATAGTACCAAAAAGACTTTTCTTGAATTAAAATTAATTCTCCGGCCTATATTAGCATATGAACTTTCAACCACATAAATGAAAATTTTTCATGTATATTTTTCCACATGAGAGATGAAAAGAGTTCCTTAATACTGACTCAGCCATAGCTTTCATCTTCATAATATTTTAAAATACATTCTTCAAATGTAAATTACAAATAGTTTGAAAACTGACGGTTCTTTCTTAAAAAGTAATTTCTTTGAATTAAAATGTGTATTTTGGAATAAAATGGAATACACACTGCACACTTAAAGAGATTTCTTTTTGAGGTTTGCAGAGCTTTACAAGTGTGAAATAATGTTCAAGGGCATTAACTCTTATTTATGACAATCCCATAAGGAAAGGTAAGAAAAAGTCTTCAGGATACTTTCTTTTTAGAAAAATAAAGTTCTTTGATCATTGATATTGAGAGTTTCAATTAAGTGCCATATATTTTGGTCACACCTTAACTTTTCTTGTAATGCGAGTAAATCCTAGAGGAACACATAGGCAAAGGCAATGAACGTAGCCTGGTTGAGATGTGTAATAGTGACGAGGGAGCAATAAGATGTGAAGCCAGTTGGGGGAGGAAATAGGCGACTGCAGCCTTCCTCACTCCCACCTGAAGTTCACCTAAGACCTTTCTACCTCTTATCCAAGACAATCCTGATCCCTATGACAACACACCTCCAACCACCAGGTGCTTAAGAGCTAACTACTATATGCCTCTTAAAAAGGGGTGTTTGGGCTTCCCTGGTGGCGCAGTGGTTGGGAGTCCGCCTGCCGATGCAGGGGACGCGGGTTCGTGCCCCGGTCCGGGAAGATCCCACATGCCGCGGAGCGGCTGGACCCGTGAGCCATGGCCGCTGAGCCTGCGCGTCCGGAGCCTGTGCTCCGCAACGGGAGAGGCCACAACAGTGAGAGGCCCGCGTACCGCAAAAAAAAAAAAAAAGAGGTGTTTGAAGCTGCAAAATACATAAGTGGAATGATGACAAGAAAGTGTAATCTACTGAGGTGGGAACATGCCCTAGGCATTATAAAAACTTAACAAGCTATAATCTCCAGCAGAACGATTCTTTAAGTCTTACACACTTTTGTGCCATTTTGCCCCTTGTTGTTTACCCAGGCACCCACCAGAGGAAAGAACAACAAAAAAATTGAACTTTTGTTCAAATAATACTAATACTCAGTCATCATTAGTAGAAATAATAGCTCTAAAATATCAACCGTGATGTTAGATATTCCAAAACTACTTGCAAATGCAGCATGAATATCAAACTTTCTCAAAATTTGGAGTCCTAGTGATAACTACATTTATTGTCAATTGAAGTAGATGAAAAATAGCACCAGAAATCTCCCCTTTGTAGGTCAGTGTTCACTGCTGAGTGTGCTGTAATTATGTACACTAAATGAGCTACAGCTTGAGCTAATAATACCATACTGAGTACTAGAAAGCTGTAATTATACAACAACATAATGTATGCTTGGCAAGATTTTCAGTATTCGGGAATCTACTGTCAAATAGCATCTGGCAGAGTTAAAAGTTCAACTTGGGGGTTAGAAGAATTGGTTTAGACTGAACTAATTTGTGGCATTGTGGCCCAAGCAGAATAAGTCATATGCCAGTTAGACAAATCCGATGATAATGAATACATCTAGAAATAGTGCAAAGTCATATAATCACGTGACTTTAAAACACAAAGCATTTCCAAGATTGAACATCTGCTACGTACCTATGCACTGTACCGGGTGCAGGAGATTTAAAACAAAACAAAACAAAACAGGAGAGGAAGAAAGAATTTCTGACTGCTAATTGCTCATAATTATGACATAGGGTGAATTCGGGTTTTCATAGAGATATGTACAAAGTATAATGAATTAACAATGTTATTGACAGCTCTGCTGTCTTTAATGATGACCTACATTAAATCACTACTCTATTGCTTTGTTTGAAAATGTTTCCTTTAAATCTCATGTTCTTCTTATATTTTTTAATAGAATTACACAGGAGAGCCTTCATAGAGATGTTTTTGTTATGTTTTCTCCCTCCTTGCTAAGCCATCATATTTTACTTTGAGTCCTGCCTACTTTACTAAGGGCAGCTAAGATTATCCCACTGTTACAAATTTGTCCTTCCATCTGTCCCACGTAATAGATACAGAGAAATCTGTTCTCTTTAATACAGTTAATGTAGTGTTTCTTCTGTATACCTTACCTCTGAGATCCATTTAGCTTACAAAAAGCTTTATGTAGAAATCTATTTGATGGTATTTAAAGTACATATGCTTATATGTAATAAAAGTATTTTACTTTATTCTGGTAGAAATTACTCATTGGCCAGGTGATTCCTTGGGCTTTGTAGGTGGTAAAGAAATTTTCAGTCTGATTGATTTGATCATTTTCAGGAACTTGCTTTAAAGACATTTAGATTTCTTGTGACTATTTTGGGAAATTTCCAGCTGCTACAGTTGTATGTTTGCATGGAAACCTATCCAAGTTTATTATGACGAAGCATAATTTTATTTTGTACATGTTGTTCAATTCAGGGAAAGGCGTGTACGTTTTGATGCAACTAATCTCTTGAAGCTCTTATTAAGCAATAAACTTGGATCATCAGGCAAAAATGATCACTTTGACTTAGCCACTTTTGATAGGTCATCACTTAGGAAACTATTCAAGAGATTTTTTCATCTTCTAATTCATGTGCATAAATTTTCTTCCCATTGTGAGTACTGGTGAGAATGTTCAGAGGTTATTAAGTATGACTACTCAAAGAAAGCCATAGATTACTGCACTGCTTGCTGAGATAAAGCCATACAAGTGGTTGTACACTTTTGTAACATAATACATTCCTGAAATTCATAATTATATGACAAAAAACGACATATGAATTAGGAAGTTAACAGTAATTATAGGTATTTATTAGGCAGAATTGAATAAGCTGATTGTTGAAATGCAAAGCAGATTTACCTGTGCCATTAAACTAGACCGGCTAATTATTGCAGTGTGATCCACAAGTGTTCTCTTCACAGTTCTCTTCACTGTTTCTCTTGCTATTGATAAGTCACGGGATTATTGGTTTCTCCCTATCTACTTCAGAGGAAGCACACAATTTGTTTTTCTTTTTTATCCTTTTCCTTCCTTTCTTCCTTCCTCCCTTCTGCCTTTCCTTCTCTCCTTCCTCCTCTCTTTCTTTCTTTTCAGATAAGATAATCCCAACTGAATCAACAGAAAGGCT